AAGGCCGCAGCGTGGCTTCCTTGAGCTTCTGAGCCATGTTATTTGGACCGAGGCGCTGTCATCGTCGTTCTTTTCTCTCCCCTGTTTTCTCCCGCCGCCACCGCCATTCTTCGTTGAGCCCTCACCGTCGAACCAGCGCCTGTGCCGTCATAGCAAAGCGCTCAACAGCTTCGCCTCTTCCTTGCGCGCTCAGCCGAACCATCCTTGACACTAGATTTCGCCATGGAACGTCGCTTGCCGCCCTTCTTCCTCGCGGCCGGCAGCACCACCGTGGTGTGCGCGTCGCCGTGGCCAGCTCGTTATGGTGAGCCTCTGCTATTTCTGACTCTTGCTTCAGCTTTGCCTCGATGCCATGGTGCTTTGTGCCCGGTTGATTGACCATTTCCTTCACCGCAGTCGCCGGAGCATCGCCATCGTCAAAATTTGCTCCGTCGTGACCGCTGTGACCATCGAACCGTGTCTCCGTTGCTTCTTAAGCTCGGCCAGCGACTCCAGTGTGTTCGGGGTGAGCTCCTGGTTCTACCCGAGTTGTTTGTTTCATCGTTACCGAGCTCCTATCGCCGGTGTAGCGCAGCCGCGCTGCCGTGTCCGCCATGGCCGTCGTCATGCTCATGCGCCGCTGTAATTGGTCCCGATTGTGCCTCCAATCGACGCATAGGGTGTAGGGGTCATTTTAGTACCTTGGTCGTCGCCGTTGAGCTCTCTGTCGGTGAGTTTTCGCCGGTCAGCGCGCGTGTCGCCGTGGTCAAAGCGCGAGGTAGAAGATGACAAGTGGGACCCGGTTGTCAGTGACTCAGCGTTCAAAATGAATTTTCTGTTTTTCAGATTTAAATGAATAGTGTCTGTTTTTGTTATTTTTGTGTAGATTTATTTAGAGCTCCAAAAATTATGAAAATTTTTGTGTGACTTCTTTGTGATGTGTATTATTTAGGAAAAATATGAAATGTTGTTTTTTAGTACTTTTTGAATGTAATAAAAATTGCTCAATTAATTAATAAATGAGTTTCCAGGATTTTTCTAGACTTATTTATGTATCCAAAAATTATGAAAATTGTTTTGTCACTTAGTTATCATCTGATGAACATATACAAAAATTTTGAGGTCAATTGAAACAAGTTGATTTATTGCATAATTATTAATTAATTAATTAATTCATAAAAGCAAATAGTAACCTTTAGTGATTTAGGTTTTGTTTGAGTTTTTGATTAAGTGATGTCCTTGGGTCATTAGTTGGTAATGATCCTTGGTAATTGTTGTAAGTGTTGCGAAAATGGTTTAGTTAGTTTGACTTGTAACTGTACCACGAAGGAAAGTTGTATTCAAGTTGTTAAGTTTTGCATCCATCATCGAGCATCATATTTTGTATCCGCATCATGTTAAACATGGCATTGTTACTACGTGTAGTGAACGAAAGTGAACACGTGGTAGTTAATTAAGTAGTTGAGGAGGTTGATCCGTCTGTGGAAGTTGGTGTTGATATTGGTGGAACGACTCCGGACCCGGACTTTTCCGTCAACGAAGGCAAGCCTCGGATGCATACAACCCTACCTTGTATTTTACAAATTGATTTCGCTTTTGCTTCTTTTTATTGCATTAAGTGATTAGGAGTCAAGTGAAAACCAAATTGGTACATTACCAACCTTGTTATTCTATATTTACCATATTACCAGTTTTAAATTCGTATATGCCAGTTTTGCTTAGCTATGCTTAGAACGATGAAAGTCGGGTGATTACCTGTCATCTGTAAGTTTTAAATGGAACTTTGGTTAATTATGTTAACATGTGATATGGGAATGTGGAGTAATAAATCTAGACCGGACGGACTCGGTGTGTGTGAGCCACAAGACATGGAGGTCTTGTGAGCAGGTTCTTTCCGCCTGTGTCGATTAAGATCCATCTGTTGTTGAATTGCATGAGGTGAGACTTTGTAGTACTAACCACATACTTCGGTAAGCCTTAACTTGGCTATTCTATTACGAGAATGGCTACTCGCGCACAGGGAGTGGAGAGATGGCAGGAATAGCGTGTACCCACATGGCAATGGGCTGGATTGGTGGAGTACTGTATTCTCGGGTGGCGCGGACCCGTTCTTATTTTAGAGGATCCGAGGGTAGGTTGGTATATGTAGGTCGGGGACCTGCATATGTCGTGTGGTCTGGAATTCCCAACTGGGTTTATAATCGGTTCGAATCATCGTTGCTCCTCGGTTATGGAGACTCAACTCACTGTTCATCATCGTAGTAATTAATAACTGAAACTTGAGGATGGTCTGTGAAGGTCTTGGTTATGAGGTTTCATGATCTCAATGCGGATTGTGTCAGCTTTGTATATGATCTTTATGAAGTTTTAAACGTTGATATAAAGAATTTTGTTAAAATGCTTTTACGCAAAAGAACCTTGATTATTGCTAAAGCCGTACCTTGAATCCCATGAGCCTGCATTCCTACGTTCTTTTAAATTCTTATTTCGGTTAAGTCTTGTTGAGTACTTTTGTACTCAGGGTTCGTTGACCCTTGTTGCAGGTGAGGCTCATGAGCAGATCTGTTTTGGATCGTGCTGCATGACTGTTGTTCAGTGCGATAACGATAATTAAATGTGTGGCCCTTGGGCAGGGCAGCTTAAGTTGTGTGTTTTGTAATATATTATAATGCCACTCCACTACTTTAGTTTGTTTTATTATGGAACTTAGTTGTATGGTTTGAAACAAATAGTTTGTAAACTATGTTATTGTAAGACTTCCGCTGTTTTTACTCTGATGTATCTATTTGAATAAACTGTTGTAATACTGCAATGACTCTGTAATGTGATCCTGCTCGGAAATCGTGGATGATTCGGGGTTCCCTGAGGACACCCGACAGTCTTCTTAAGTTACCGGGAATGTATGCATAGATGTCAAAGGTCGTTGGACAGTAACAGGTGCATGTGGGCCCTATAATTCAGGAGGTTCTGCCACAGTGACGCCTACGTATAGCACCAGTGACGAATAGGGACGCGACGTGGAGCCATCCCCATCATCATCTATAGGACCAGCGGGACCCATATAAAGGAGATGAAGGACGCCGCGACTCTCGAGGCCTTCTTCTCCCTCGCATTTCTTCTTTTCTCTCTGTAGCCCGCGCCTTCCCCTTCACCTATAAAAGGGGAAGCAGGATGACCCATGGAGGGGGAGAGACACGAGCACACGGCTAAACAAGCTTAACAAGACTCAACTCCATTCGATCCTTTCATCAGAGACTTGGGACCTTCTCCCTCTCTCACCCGTTTGTAACCCCTACTACAAACTAGTACCGGTAATATGAGCAGCAACAGACTGGATGTAGGGACATTCTGCCCGAACCAGTATAAATCCTTGTGTCCTCCGAGCACATCATCCAGGCCAGACACGCAGATACAAATTTACTAGCCAGTGGTTCGAAACACTGACACATATGCAATGAGTTAGAGCATCTAGTGGCACTTTGATAATCGTATTTCGATACGAGTTTCACCCCTCTTAATAGTACGACTATCAATCCTAAATGTAATCACACTCACTAAGTGTCTCGACCACCAAACCAAAAAGCTCCTATGGATATCACCTTTGCCTTGAGCTTTTTATTTTTCTCTTTCTTCTTTTCCAAGTCCAAGCACTTGATCATCACCTTTATACATCATCATCATGATCATCACCATTTGCTTCACCACTTGGAATGTGCCACCTATCTTATAATCACTTAGATAAACTAGGTTAACACTTAGGTTTTCATCAATTCATCAAAACCAAACTAGAGCCTTCAGCGCCACCGAGACGCTACTGCAAGATGGCATGGTGCGCAGCTACCCTCTCCTAGTTATGCAGTCGCTGCCTCTCTACCACGTTGCGGAGCCGCCGCTGCCTCCGGCACGCCGACGAGCCTCCATGTTGCAAGTGTATATTTTAAGTGTTTTAGATATTTCAGAGGTATGTTGCAAGTGTTTCATACGAATATTGCAAAAGTAGATCGGGGATGTTGCATATGTTGTAATGGTTGTACGCGCATGTTGTAAGTGTCCGTTCTCAATGTTTTATTTGTGTTTTAAGACGTATGTTGCAAGTGTGTTTTATCTGGGTGTTGCATATGTTTTCACACATATGTTTATAAGTGTTTTATCTGGATGTTGCGTATGTTTGCAATTGTATTCAAGCGTTTTGTAGGTGTTATTTTTGCAAGTGTTTCAGAAACATGTTTCAAGTGTTTCATATGTCTTCAAACGTATGTCGCATCTGGATGTTTCAAAAGTAGATCAGGGTGTTTGCACATGTTGCCTGTTATAGCTGCTAGAGGGGCACGGGGCTGGGTCGAGCGAGCGCAGACGCCACGTGGGGTCGGCCGGGGGTGCAGACGCCGCGTGGGGTCGGGTTGGGCGTAGACGCCTCGTCGGGCTGGCACAGGGGCAAAGTGCAGGCCCGGGCGTCGACGTCCGGCCGCTAGCATTATGGGGGGATCAAAGGGAATATACCCTATACTATGTGGATCAAGTGAGTTCACCAATTAAATCATCCGTTGAATTAAAACCTCTCCAACCGAACAAGGCATTAGGGAAACTGCTAAGAAGTTTTGTGTTTATCTCATCCCTCATATTTTTTGGGCAAGAAGCCGCTCCAAAAATAGCTCCAAACAGGGCCACGATTGTTGGGCTGGCGAAGGTTGGTATTCGGATTTGTTGGGCCACGCGCCTGCATCGTCCACCATGAGCCACGAGATCAACTACACGATTAAGGCCCAAGGTGACGAAACAAACTGTTGAGAGTGAGACTGCCGACGTGCCACGCTCGGATCTCATAAGCTGCTTCTGCAACGAGTCCCTTCCAATCGGGACCGAGCGCGACCCCACCTCCCGGATCTCATCTGCGACGACCTCCCTCCTCCCGATCTCGCTTCCTCCCGCCGGGCGCCGGCGCCTCCCCCACCGCCACCGCTGCTGCCTCCCGCACCGAGGTCTTGTCTCCGGCGAGCCAGCCGGAGCCCGCGGCGGCGACGATGTACGGGTGGGAGATGCTGTCGTTCAACATACACGATGGGTTCCTGGAGGCCATCGTGCGGGGCAACCGCTCGGGCCTCCTCACCGCCGCGGACTACAACAATCTCTGCCAGTGCGAGACCCTCGACGACATTAAGATGCACCTCACCGCCACCGAGTACGGGCCCTACCTCCAGAACGGTGAGATCCTCCTCAGGCCTCCTTGGCGTTTCGGGTGGGGTGGGGTGGGGAAGCTACCGTGCCGTGCAGCAGCTTCTTAGTCCGCGCTGATATGCTAAGGTGCGCGATTCGCGGTCTGGCCGGCGCGAATCGTGATCCCGGTTGGGGATTTCGGGCTAGTGCTACTAGTATGGCTCGTTCTCGAGCTAGAATGCTTCGCATTGTTGTGTCCTTTTTTCTCCAATTCGCTGATCTCGGGAGGGAAGCAATCCAGATCACTTGCTGGTTATTTGAATTTTTGAACTACTCACATAACACTAGGTCCTGTATAGCGAGACCAGCAGTCGGTCATTCAACAGATTGTTTGTGGAGTCTTAGGTGTACCATATCCAAGTATTCACGAATTCTGTATTGATATGCTGTGTACATGTGAGCATATGAAGTTCAGATAAATTCCTGCAGATTAGCTTAGTCCTTCTGTAATGACTGTAAAACACTATTTGACCTGCCTAAAGGAATTCAGCACTTAGGGGAGTTAATTTCATGAATCCACGCACATTTGTGGGTCAATTGCATCAGCAAAACCTTTTTAGCCATTATGTTTCAGTTCTGCCTGGCAATAAAGTTCAATAATCTTCATCCCTTCACACTTGCTGTCCATATTGTTTTACGGATTTTGCAAATTATATTTTCATCTGTTTCGAGAAATTCATTTTACTGGGCTTCATATGCTGTGTATAGAGGATGTGCTACGTTCTTGCTTAGGGCTCTTTATCTGTATCATGTGTCTGTCTGTCACACTAGAATGTTAACATGTATAGCTTATCTTATCTCTACCATGGTGATGCCGAATGCGTAAATTTTCATTACTGTACTATACTAAGGTACGTTGCACTCTATACAGTTTATTTGAACAACAATTTAATGAATTCTGCCTAATCACAAAGTTTTGTGTTGAGTAAGCTTAATGTTGGCAATTGTTTTCATGAAAGTATTTGCACTGTATGCTTGCTCAATGCATTTTTGTGAGACAACTGTACTGCAAACTTATTTCGGATGAATCGCAGAACCTTCACCCTTGCACACAACGACAATTGTGGAGAAGTGCACTCTTAAACTGGTCGATGAGTACAAGCACATGCTGTGCCAGGCCACTGAACCACTATCTACGTTCTTGCAGTATATAACGTAAGTGACGGAGTGTTGTTTTGATCGTTTCTTTTTTTATTGAAAATTGGACCTGTTCTTCATATATTTCATCGACACATACTAGCATTTCCAGCTCTAGTGCAGTAGTTTGATTCTAACAGGATGTTGTTTTTCACAGTTATGGCCACATGATTGACAATGTTGTCCTTATTGTAACTGGGACACTACATGAGAGAGATGTTAATGAACTTTTGGAGAAATGCCACCCATTGGGCATGTTTGACAGGTATTATTGTTGTGTCAATCTTTTTTTACTTTTTTTTTGTTGTCAATTGAGATGTGCCAAAAACACCGAACACTAATCATTATGTCTTGCTGATCAACAGCATTGCATCACTTGCTGTTGCTCAAAACATGCGTGAGCTTTATAGACTGGTTCTAGTCGATACACCACTGGCCCCTTACTTCTCAGAGTGCATTACATCTGAGGTAAACACTGCAGCTGATCATTTGTGCATTACATCTGTGCTCTAACAAATATCAACTCATCTTTATTCTTACTTTTCTTGACAGCTAACATTGCCTTCGTAATGAGAACTGTTGGTCTTTTGTAGGATTTGGATGACATGAATATTGAGATTATGAGGAACACTCTCTACAAAGCATATCTTGAGGACTTTTACAAATTTTGCCAGGTATGTAGTACTCGAGATGGTGGCTTTGATGATGTTTTTCTCAATAATCTTAATTGTTCTGTTGATAATTTGTCTATTCTCTAATTTCTTGACTATTTTGTTACAGAAACTAGGTGGTGCAACAGCTGAGATCATGTGTGATCTCCTTTCATTTGAAGCTGACAGAAGAGCTGTTAACATTACTATAAATAGGTAAAGACTGTTGGATTTTGCATTTCCAACTTCACATCTTCCAGTTTTTTGCATGCAAAATTGCCTAATGCTGTCCTAATTTCTATGTTATGTTTTGCAGTATTGGTACTGAGTTGACAAGAGATGACCGCAGGAAGCTGTACTCCAACTTTGGTTTATTGTGGGTTTTCTTTTAAAGAAACACTATTGGTATTTTTTTCGTTAATTAAGATGTCCAGTTTTTTCATGTGAGTTCAATTTTGTTTTGATGTCCTTCAGGTACCCATATGGTCACGAAGAACTGGCCGTTTGTGAAGATGTTGACCAGGTATGTCTCTAATTATGTTTGATGCATTATTCATTATAACACACCCTGCAATAATATTTAATTCACGCCTTTTGATCTTTCATGCTTGTTAGGGTCACCTTTTCCTTTTTGATGCCATATTATGGATTTTTCTTTACTACGTGTCGTAGTTTTGTTTAAGATGTTACATTGTAGACTTCCTCACTTGAAAGTTAATGTCTTTCTATGTGCTGTTTGGATAAGAGTATTTCTTTGGCACAGTGTACTAGTAACATATATACATTGCTTTATGACAAATTTCTGCTTTGCGCATTCCTCTCGATGTCATGCCTGTAATGGAGGCCTCTAGTCTTTCAAGATGGACTGCATTTGCAGTGAATGCCTGTGTAAATTGTAATTATATCTTTCATTTTGCTTGTTTGTCATGTAGGTCCGTGGTGCAATGGAGAAGTACCCACCATACCAGTCTATATTTTCCAGGATTTCATATGGAGAAAGCCAGATGTTGGATAAGGCATTTTATGAGGAGGAAGTCAAGAGGCTATGCTTGTCCTTTGAGCAGCAGGTATATATATTTTTTTGCTTTGCTATGTCATAGCCTTATAGGAATCACTTCATGCTATCACAGTTGTACTCCTGGAAATTCAAAACTATTCTCTATTCATGGCGCTATCTTCTGACACGTCTTGTATGGGCCTTGTAGTTCCACTACGCTGTTTTCTTTGCTTACATCAGGCTCTGTGAGCAAGAGATCAGGAACCTGATGTGGATCTCTGAATGTGTCGCTCAGAACCAGAAGTCCCGGGTCCATGACAGTGTCGTGTTCATCTTCTGAGAACCCCCACCACTATATACGTAGAAAATGCCTGCTTTGATGATGGCACAATCGCTTGCCTATTATAAACCTGGGACTTATTATTATGCCCATTCCCTCTTGTTAGACGCTGGAAAAAAAGGCCAGACCTGGAGTCGATGTATTATTTGTTTTGTAGTCAAATAAAGGTGTGATTGTCTGGTACACAGAATAAAATCTTGTCTATTCTTTAGAATAAGTGAAATCTTGTGTATTTTGGGACAGACCTTCATTGTCAATGTGCAGTATGTTGTCAATCTTGTGTCGTTACCTCTCTGCTTTGATATATGCTCCGGATGGTATTCTTAGTGTTGCAATGCGGCAGGATGTTTTGAAGCTAGTAGTATTGTTTATCTAGTTCTCGTCGGATTTCTCAACTAATAATGGGTGATAGATTGACGCTTTGGTTGTCTCTGCAGTGGATGTGAGAAGCAGGTTTCTATATCTTTTTCGTTCGTGTTTCAGTTCTGGCTGTAGTCTGCGTTCATGTTTCAGTTCTGGCTATGTTAACACCAAATTTTGGGTGACACACGAGGGCCCTGGATTTCGGGATTTATTGAAGAAAGCTGAAATATTTGAGACATCAGCTAACTAAAGTGCCATTGGAATCGACTAATCGGAATCGGCTAGATAATGGTGACCGCATCATCGTCTCGAAGATGGACTCTGCCGACGGAAGATAGCGGTAATTAGAGCAAGAAAGCATGTCGGACTTTGTCGGAGGGAAAATTTGGAGTCTTAGAGACTTAAATGCTTTGTCGTTGTTGTTGTAACTAGTCTTATTCGACTAGGACTCGTATTAAAGCTTCGGGTATAAATATTGAACCCCGACTATTGTAATGGACATCAATTAATCAAACACAATACCGTACATTTACTTTTCGGCTTCACGTCAACCCTAGGAGTGGGAGTAGAGTAGATCTCGATGAGTTCTTCAGCAAGCTGGGATGCATCAATCTGAATGACGGAAAGCTCTAGTTTGGTTTTGGTGAATTGATGAAACCCTTAGTGCTAACCTAGTTTATCAAAGTGATTATGAGATAGGTAGCACTATTCCAAGTGATAAAGTAAATAAAGATCATGACATGATGATGATGATGGCATGGTGATGATCAAATGCTTGGATTTAGAAAAGAAGAAAGAAAAACAAAAAACTCAAGGCAAATGTGAAATTGATAGGAGCTTTTTTGGTTTAGTGATCGAGACACTTAGAGAGTGTGATTACATTTAGGATTGATAGTCGTACTATTAAGATGGGTGAAACTCGTATCGAAATACGGTTATCAAAGTGCCACTAGATGCTCTAACTTAGTGCATATATATTTAGGATCTAGTGGAGTGCTAACACCCTTGAAAACGTTTGTGAAAATATGCTAACACATGTGCATAAGGTGATACACTTGGTGGTTGGCACATTTGAGCAACGGTGGTGAAGTTGGTGAATCGAAGGAGATGTTTTTCACTGTCATACAGTGACCGGACGTTGGTCACGTGGTGATCGGACTCGGGGGAGCAACGTCTGGTCAATTATAAAAGAAGGTGGTACTCTCGGCCTGAGACCGGACGCAGGTGACCGGACTCTAGCTGAACACTGTTCAGCGTCCGGTCATGCTGATGTGGCGGCGCACAGAGAAGAGGGTGAGTGATCGGACGCTGGGCGAGTCCGATCGGGCGTGATCGGATGCGTCCGGTTGCGAATGGAAGCTTACTGGAAACGACCGGACTCCAGTGTTGGAGCATCCGGTCACTTCGAGCAGCGCGTCCAGTCACAACTTAAGTGCACTGATGACCGTTGAGATCGAGCGATCAGCATTTGAAGCTGGGGACACGTGGCGAAGATCTGAGGACCGGACGCTGGGGTCCTACGTCCGATCAATACGACCGGCGCGTCCGGTCGCCCCGTTTTTTCAGTGAACAGAGAGCCAACGGCTCTATTCGTGGGGACTCTCTGTTAAGCCCCATGACCGGCTCAAGCTCACTCTCTTGACCATTTGCATTGACATAGCAACCTTGTGAGCTTAGCCAAAGCCCTCCCACTCATCTCCATCATTGATTCATTATCTTTGTGAGATTGGGAGAGAATCCAAGTGCATTGCTTGAGTGATTGCATCTAGAGGCACTTGGTGTTTGTGTTTCGCTGCCGGATTCGCTTGTTGCTCTTGGTAGTTGCCGCCACCTAAACGGCTTGGTGTAGCGGAGGAGGATTGGCACGAGTTGGTGATTGTTCATGTGATTGTGAGGGGTCTTGTGCCTTCTCCGACGGAGCGTCAAAAGGTAACTCTAGTAGATTGCTCGTGTCATTGAGTTACCTCACTTGTGGGTTGGTTCTTGCGGTGTCCAATTGTGTGGACGAGGTTCGTGCAACACCTCTTAGCCGCCGAACCACCAAGTATTGGTCGACACAACGGGGACTAGCGTGCCGGCAAGCACCTGAACCTCAAGAGAAAAATTGGTTGTCTCTTGCCCTTTGGTATTCTCCCGGTGATTGAGTTGGTATTCATCTTGTGATTGGTTCATTCCTCTACGCGGTGGTATTGAAAGGATCAAGATGCCCAAGAGGGAGGTGAATTGGGCTAATTCTAAATTTTTTCGCAATAAACAAGTCCTATGGTTAGCCCAATTAACCCCTTGTGCCTAGAGAAGTGTTTCTATTGATCTAACGCACAAAAGTTTAGCAACATAGTTTCAATCCTATTCTAGCATGGCAATTCTAGGAATGTAAATGACAAGAATTGAAATGCTCCAAGTAAATGCTCCAAGTAAAGAGAGGAGAGGAAACGCGGCGATGTTTTGCCGAGGTATCGGAGAGTCGCCACTCCCCACTAGTCCTCGTTGGAGCACCCACGCAAGGGTGTAGCTCCCCCTTGATCCACGCAAGGATCAAGTGCTCTCTATGGGTTGATTCTTTGACACTCCGTCGTGGTGAATCACCCACAATCGCTCACAACTTGAGTTGAGTCATCCACAAGCTCTCCGGATGATCACCAAGCTCCCAATCACCACCAAGCCGTCTAGGTGATGGCGATCACCAAGAGTAATAAGCACGAACTCTCATTTGACCACGACAAGCCTAGGGAGAAGGGTGGATGCACACTTTGCTACTCTTGATCTTCACTAATGAGGGCTCTCTTTGGATTCTCAAATCTCAATCACCTCACTAGGACCTTGCTCTTCTTGGCACTCTCTAACATGTGTTTCAGCTGTTGAAATGAGCAAAAGTGCCTCCACACACGAGTGGAGCTTCTATTTATAACATGGGCTGAAAAATGAACCGTTATGTGCCTCTGCAGGGTGACCAGACGCTCCGGTCATGTTGACCGGACGCTCCGGTCAGTTCAACCCGCACACTAGTGTTTATGTGTTGACCGGACGCTGGCAGGGTCCGATCACCACTGACCGGACACGTCCGGTCTCATTTTTTCCTCACTAGATGCTTACTGTACTCGACCGGACGCTGGATCCTCAGGGTCCGGTTAGCACTGACCGGACGCGTCCGGTCGCAGATTCACTCTTCTGGAACCTTACTGGAGTCGACTGGACGCTGCCTCTCAGCATTCGGTCACTTGACCACTCAGCGTCCGGTCGCACCAGACGCAATCTCCTTGGTCAAATAAACTTATCGGACCCTGCGGCCAGCGTCCGGTCTGTATTTGACCCTCCATTCACTTCCAACTCTCGATCATACGTGAATGAAGTTTGCTCTATTGGATCTTAGGCATATGTTGGAGCTACCTAGCGCTAGTTTTAACAAGTGTGCACCACACCTAACTCACTAGACTCATCTAGGTCAAGCTACCCGTCCATACCCCCTTAATAGTACGGCCAAAGGAAAAACAAAGTCATAAACTACTCTAAGTGTCTCTTCAACTCCAATCGACACTTAGAACTAGTCATCCTTAACCTTGTCGTCCATTCTTTGAAAACCGAAATGATTTCCATCGTAGGGGCATGACAACCATGATTGCCCAATCGATCTCCATTACCGTGACCTAACTTAATTGCCTCTGCAAAACACACATTAGTCACATTAATCTAACATTGTCATTAATCACCGAAACCCAATTAGAGGCCTAGATGCTTTCAATCTCCCCCTTTTTGGTGATTGATGAAAATACAACCTCGATTATGTGAAAGAGTTGAGATTTTTAACATGCTTGGATCATATAAGCTTTTAGCAATAAGAACAAAAGAGTTAGTCAAGCTTATATAACCCAAGCCATCATGATGTACTCAAATGATATGAAATAAGCATGAGTACAATAAGAAAGGCTCATTTGCATTGGAGTAAAAACACGGAAGCAAAGGCAAATGAGCATAGCTCAAGTGATATGACATATTAAAGAATTCAAAGTAGAGAGCACACATGTCATATATCACAATCACGTAGATATCACTATCACATAGATATAATAGTATGCATGAAAGTAAACACACGAATGCATAAAAGTAGTAGTGTATCACACAAATAAAACTCCAAATGTATATAAAAGACTAATAGCTAACTAGCTCCCCCTAAATGTCGCTCCCCCTGAGTCTACATACTCGAACCCTCTCCCCCTTTGGCGTCAAACACCAAAACCTAAGGGCTGGTCGACGGGGCTGCAGCGGACGAGTCAGGCGCTGAAGTACAAGGAGCAAGCTAAAACTAGGCAGCATCATCATCTGACCCTGAGCTCTGTGCTGACTGACCCTCTATGGCTGGAAGCGTCGCTGAATCGGTCTGGGTCTGAGCTAGGGCAGGTGCTGCCTATGATGCTGCTGGTATAACTGTCGTAGGATCTAAAGATGCGACAGAAGAAGGAAGCCTCTGAGTAGTCACGGCGATGGAAGCTGCTGTAGAAGGACCTGGGGCATGCATATGTGGCGGTGTAGGCATCCCTGTCAATTCGCTAAAAGATGCTCTAAAACTCCTGGAGACTAACGTGTCAGGCACAAATAGCGAGGATGACTGATCCGGTGTGAAGCCCGTCTGAAGTGGTGTG